GGCTCAGCAGTGGGCTTTAGCTCATCCAAACAAGAGTGGGAATCCAATAACAATGAACTGGAAGAGTGTGACCCAGTAGAGACAGCGTCTCCTCAAGAGAAGAGTCAAAATGGCGGCCACAGCTCACGCAGTCCTGGTGTGTAGCGTCCTCTTCCGGGCTGATGAGGAGTTGGGCCTGCTGGGGCAGTGGGGACAGAGGCCTCCCAGTATGTGCATGTCTCTGTTTCATCTGTGCGAATGTCCTTAAATAACCCACCTTGCCTGGGGAAGAAAGCGAAGCGTCACACCCAGTTCTGGATTCCACATTAACAGCCTCCTTCCGGCAGTGTTCAACTTTGCCCTTGAGGCCTTTTGTTTAACTTTTTAATCCGAAAAACAGATACTGCTGCGTCTCAGTCTGTACCACCCTCCCCATCCCCACCCCCTGCACCCTTTTTTTTTTTTTTTTTTTTTTGGTTAAAGTAAAATATAGCTATCTCAAACAGACTTGCATTTCCTTTTGTTGTTCAAATATACATCCTGCCCTCTTAGGGAGAAGAGTATATAAAAGACCCTTAAAAAAAAAAAAGTTGTTATTCACAGTAGAACATTTGTTGTTTACGAAGGAGTCCCGTCTTCGTCTTCGACCATGTCTTGGGCCCACCTCATGACCAAATTTTGGAAAAGTTTCCTAATTGCTTTCTGTGGGGCATAAGAAAGGAAAGAGCCTGGTACTGTCAGAGGTGCCTGCTGCCATCCCAGCCTTCCTGTTTAGGATGCAGCCGGATGGATATTGTTTATGGTTCATAAAACCTGACTACTGTGAGGATTCCAGAATCCCAGCAGAAGGGGATTCGAACTTTCATGGAGCTGTAAATTAAGGGGCGGGAAGTGTGATAAAACTCCTTAGAGAACGGTGCAAAAAAAAATTTCGCGCTGCAATGGTTAAATGAAATTTTATAAGCACATTCAGTGTGGAGCTGTTTTGCATTACATGAGTTGAATACCTTAGAGACGCCACATCTGCAGGCACTTTATTAAATCCTTAGTCAGCACTTTCCAACCTGATGAGATTACTTCTTCATTTGACTGGAGAAAAGGAAAGCTGAGCTCTGGTCCTGGACTGCAGGTTTCTTTTGATGTTTCACCTTGAACACTGAGAGAGGACAATTACCACCTCCCCTCACCGCTTCCCCCAGCACATCCCAAACTGTAGAAACGGTGAATGTAACAGAGTAATTTTACTGAACTGGAGCCTCTGTGGGAGTGTGGATTTATGGATCTCCGAAACGATAGCTGGAAGTCTCTGAGGGAAAAAATAGATCAAAGCTCTGTGTTTACTTCCTTAATGTAAATGTATCAAGATAACATCGTCCTATATTGTATTGTAGTATTGGAACTCTCTGCAGATAAGGGACAGAGATTCCTTTGTAGTCCATCTGGATACAGTAGGTTAGATTAAGGGGTTTATAAAATATGAAGGCAGAAACCATATGAAATGTAAGCTTGTGTCAGTAAATGTCTGAAGACAATTTTTTGACTCTCCATAAATGAATTTTGTTTAGTATGGCACCATTTTCCCAGTGATTTGCTACTCAACCCCAACAATTTAACAACCTCAGGAGTATTTTTATATTTCTCTTGTATGACCCAAGGAAAAAAAAATGCTCGGAGTCATTCTTCAAGTGACGTTTTAAAACTAGCACTGCTTGCTTAATAGATTTTCTAAGAAAACATCACAAGAGACAAGTGGGCTTTTCCAAACACTGTCTTGTCCATTTGATGTTACTAGTAGTTCATGGAAGTTTCTAAAAATCGAGTGGCATATTACATGTGTAACTCTCACATTCATCATAAAGAAATTAGGAGTATCTTCAGCTACACACTGATTGTGAGAAGATAATGCAGTGAAATGGATGAGTTTTTTGATTATTATTATTATTATTCTGTTTATCTGCCATCTCAGCAAATAAATGATTTCATCAAAGAGACCACATCCCCCCCACCTCCAAAAAACCGCAAAAAACAAAAAACAAATTCCCTGTGTGGTTTCCCCTAACCGATTGATTTCCCATTCTGGGGAAAGCCTTGGTCAAGTAGCTGGGTTAATTGTCATGAAGATTAGTGTGATGTTGAAATAAGTACTAATGGTCAAATTACAGGAGTGAAAAAGTTTAAGAATAGGTTTTGGTTTGGGCCTGAAAGGGTTAATTAAGTTTTTTTCACGGGTTATTAAAGACCCCCAACCCATGCCTTCAGGAGTCATATTGACACCACACCACAGGGCAACTCGCTTCTCTATTGACATGTTGCTGGTCAGAGCACAATAGCCTTCTGTGTCTGAAAATCATTGCTAAAATCATCTCAAGGAAAAAAAAAAAGTTTGAAAGCTCTAACGGTAGACAAAAGCCCAAGAGCTGCAGTGTGCAGCTCAAAAACCCGGAGTCAGCAACTTCTATTGATTAAAAACTAACCTTTAAAGTAACTCTGAGAGTGTGTGGTTAGCATTTAAATTTAAACATGTCATGAGTTGATTTGTGTTACTGAATACCAACTCAGAAGGAGTAACATTCACATCGCATTTTTTTTCTAATTCCCTTAAGCAGCTAAAATATTTCATGAAATGTCAATAGGGCAAAAAGAAAAAGGGGGGGGGCGCAATGCTAGGCCTTGTAGTTTTCTTTCCCATGCAAATACTCACCCCCCCCAAAGAAAAGTGTGGAGAGTGAAACACAATAATTAGTCCTTTGTCTAACTTTCCCAAGTGCCAGAGAAAGACAGATTAATTAAATATACAACAGTGTTGGTTTTTGGAGTGGGGGTCTTGCTTGCTGTGTCGGTCATAAATTAGGCAGAATAAATACTTCAATGTGTTTGCAGTGGGCCTGCTACGTCAGAGCCACTGGAAGGTTGGTGGGAGGAGAGCAGAGGGTTTCTTGCTAATGATAGTCACGTCTGGGTCTGTCTGGTTGCTCGTAGCAACCAGACATGATGTAACACCAGGATGAACTTGAACTTGGGGGACTTGAAAAGAGAACAATAGACCAGAGCAATCAATAAAGCCTATTTCAGTGAAGGATTACAGAGCTGCTCTGGGGTAACCTTGTCGGCAAGGCACACACTGAATAGTAAGATGTGTGAAGAAACTTTCTTTTTTTTTTGCTTTGCTTTTTAAGAGAAGTGCAGAGCCACTGCAGATTTTTGTAGTGCGCTGAGGTTGTGTCCAGAAACTGTGGTATGGAAAACTGCTCCCCCTGCCGTCTCCCTGGGTCCCCGGTGTTTGCTTCGAGAGCTACTATGCAGCGTCAGATTGAAGAAGGCTGGAATTTCACAACTGACTTAGAAAGTGTGAGAACAGAAATCCTGTAAGCATTATTCTCTGCACCCAAACTTGGAGACTGTTTTGTGAGTGAGAGACCGCAGCTGAGGCGCGCCTGGATCCCTTAGCTGTGAGGAGAGGCCTCCTGGAAATACATTTCGGGCCTTGCCTCCCCTCTCTTCTCTTTCCCGTCTTCTTCCTTTTGTCCAGTTAGATTTAGGCCGCGTGTCTTTGCCAGGATGATTTCCTTTCGGGACACAAGAGGCTTTATTGTGTTCCCCAGAGCATGTGGTCAAAGAAGAACATCTAAAAGTACACAGGATGAGTAGTTTTTCGGGTTAGGCTTGGGTTTTTCAAGTTCTCTGGAAATCAAAGGTAGCTTGTGTAACCAGGAAATTTCATACCTGGTAGGTATCCACATAGCTATCATTGCGCCATTCACCCCTGGGATCAGAGGCCGTCCTTTACCTAATTGAATTTCTTGGGCACCAATGAGCCTTCATCTGACTAAATCCACTGGAAGGTGCCCCTTTCTGACACTGCCAACTCAGAGATTTCAGAGACATTCACTTTTGCTGGAAGTTGACGATTTTTCTGTGAATGATGATGAATGTGGTGAATTTGGCAGGGTATCTCTGGGGAAAAGTTGGTGAAAGCCAAACACTTCCCCATTTCACTTGAGAAACCGACTCTGAGATTAGACCATAAGTGGTCACTTTGTTTAGCTAACAGAGAAAGCAGTGCTGGCCCATAAAGTGATGTATCACCAGACTGTTGTCCAAAGCCAGTCCCTAAGGATTTTTGAAAGGAAAAGGTGACTCGTAACTGGGCCCAGCAGGTATATGGAATGCTCTCAGTAAGTACTAAATGAACAAAAGCAAGAATAAGGACTATGCAATGGCCTCATTTTTGTCCTTTGGACATCATGGCAGCCCAATAGGGTGAAATCTTAATCCCATTGGATTCTTCCATGTCATTTGTGAAAAATTATCTTACAAATATTGAACTGAAAAGAGCATTTTACCTCATGAAATCCACTTCAGGCACACATAAAGGAAACTGGGTATCAAAAAGGTGCTGTGACTTGCCCAAGTCACCCAGGACTCTGCGTGCAGCACTTTTTCATACTTCACCTCCACTTATTTTAATATCAATGTTGATCATCTGCGCCCATTCAAATAATGTCACGACACTGTCTTCAGTGCCTCCATCTCATGGAAAAGGAGATGTGAAAATCCTCCAAGTACACATTGATCAACACAAGAAGCCTCTTCCCTCACCCTTTGTCCATTCATTCAATACTTCTTTGTGGAGAACCTTCTACTCCAGGCACTGTGCTGGACACTGAGGACTCAGTGACAGGATGATCAAGCTTCTCACCCTCCTGCAGCTGCCCCACCCGACTGCGAAACCCATATGCGTATTTCAAGTGGACATAAATACTTCATTTCTGAGACACACTCTGAATGTTGGCAAATCCCAATGAAGACACTGAGGTTCAACTTCGGAGGATTAAGATCAGCTTCAGTGACTCAGGATTTACTACTGTCTATCACTCCTCTCTTCCAGTCCCAGAAAACCCTCTCCCCTCCCCCACTTCATTCCTAATATAGATCCCAATTTCACAGTCGGAAGAGCGACTTCTAAAATATGTCACTTTCCAAATTGTACCCCTAATCGCTCTTTTCCTTTTGTCTTCCAGTCCTGGTACCTGGGATAAAAGTCGCTGCGTCCCACCATCCACCAGACAGACCACCTGACCCCTTCTCAACACTGTAACATGGACGCGTCCTCAACCCAGCGCGGTTACAACTTCACTGTCAGTGGAAGGGGAGAATCAAATCAACTTGTACATGGAAACAGCGAGCATTATGGTCAAACAGCAAAGGCCATAACCTTTTGGGATTTTTTTTTTTAAATACTTTAGGGACTGTTGTAATTTTCTCATATGGTGCTGGAAATGGTTGGGCTTTGTAACATTTGGAGTGTTTTCCGTGGTAGCGTGAGCATTAGGTGACGTGGCTAGTGGAGGTCTACCCTTGCTCACTGACTTCCCGTTGTAACACACTTTCCTTACGGAGCCTGGCTGTTTCACAGTATTTCATGAATTTACCCACACAGGTGTGAGCCTCCTTGAGTCATCAGGAGGCACATGGAGAACTAAATCTTTTGTAGTAGCTGAGATCTGCAATATATAACTTATGGGACAGTCAAAGGGCAATGTTTTTCTGTAACATATTGGAAAAAGAAAATGCAGTTATGTTCCTTTTTATTTTTTCTTTTAGTTTGGTTTGGTTCAGCAGTCAGCAGTTAAATATATAACATGGCCCACAAGGACAGTGAATCCACTCACATTGCAGAACAATTCCGAAATGACAAACTACTACTACTACTATTCAGTTTTTTAAAAGTTGTGAAATGCTGCACTTACATTTAAAAAAAAAAACAACAACATTTTTTTCAACAATTTCAACAATGACACACAAATTCACATGGAAATGGGGAAGATGGTCTGTTTTGACAGAAACTGACAGGAATCAATCAAAACAATCGAATTTTGAAATGAGTAAAGTGCAATTTCATTGGATAGCTAAATATCTTTGTAAGATAGAGATTGTTGAAAATTCTATTTTTGTTTTTCAAGTCCTTCCACCCCGGGACTCTAAATTATCGGGGTAAAAAACAGCCTTGCAAGAAAAAGGGGAGCTATTTTTGCTTTTTATGTTTTTTATTGTTAAACTTGTATCCCTTTAAAAACTGAAGGAAAATTTAAAAAAAAAAAAAAAACAAATCTAATGGTGCTTTTACCACGATATGTTAACTACATTAAATGCTAATTAATTATTTTCTGTTATCAAAGCACATAACTAAAATGAAATCATGGTATCTGTTAATTTTATAAGCTAGAAGTCACTATAATGGATTATGCCAATTCTGAAAATTTTTACATGTATCCAGCAACATAGGATTTATCAGTTATCAGACACTTCATTGTACCAGAGATTGTCCAGAACTTTTCAAGACCTTTGCGCCCCTGAACTGGGCTATGGGGAAAAAAAAATAACAATAATAATAATAAACCAATACCGACACAAATGCTGGTGGGTGCCCATTCAGATCAAGGGTACCTGTTAGGGAAAAAAAAAAAAAAAGTTTGCACCCCCAAATGTCCTGTAGCTTATGTAAAAAAAAAAAAAAAAAAATACACACACACACAAAAACAAAAAACAAAAAACAAAAAAACAAAAAAAAGTGCAAGTGATTTTTCTACCAGACAGCGAAGCACCCCTTTGCTTCCCATGCAACTTCAAGAAGGTTTCCTATACTATACATATATATACGTTCTGGTTGGCAAGCCCTGCTGATCAGAGAAAGTCTCTGCATGTTCTAGTGTTAGTAACTAATTTTTATATAGTTAATGTAGGATAAAGTAGAGTGCATTAAGACACAATATTGTAATCCCTACTCTAGGCACTTGCCTTTAAACTATGTTTTTCAGCCCTTCAGAAGGGTTCTACTACTGTCCTATACAATCAAGTAACTGAAATTCTTGGGAAGACACTTTGCTCCTCATCTTTCCCCCCGAAACAATGTTGTTTTGTTTTGTTTTTTTTCCTTAATTTGCACGAAAACAAAAATTCCATATCAATGTGCCTTGCCCTGGATAGCGATTATTTGTGGAATTGTTGCACATGCTCCTCTATTGAAAGGGGTTTTTCCCTAGTCAAGCATTTGGAGACACTTTTTGTAAATGTGACTTTTATGTCAGCCATCGTCAGTTTCAACATCTAGAACTAAATAGAGAGTTAGTTGTTCCGCAGATAGGAGTAGTCTTTATTGTCCTCTGTGGTCAGTGGCAGTGCTATTCTGAGATCTGTAGATGGCTTAGAATATCAGTATTTTGGATGTTGCTGCATTTTACAATTTATTTGGAGTCTTCCTTTATCCCCCCCCCAGATATATGAAAATATGCAATACCTGCTTATATCGTGTAGAAAAGCTTAGCGATTATTAATTTTTCTTTTATTTTTTTTATTTGACCAAAGTCGGTGCTGCACTTGACGCAGTGTGTTTTAGGTGTTTGTCTTTGTACTTTTTTTGTGATTTTTGAATGCACGTGCGCAGGAAGGGCTCCTCTTAGAGAAGCAGTCAAACTGTGAAGCACTAAGCTGACCCTGCTTCAAGCAATTTTGTTTTTACAACTGTTCCTTTCACAAGCAAGCCTTAAAAAAAAAAAAAAGACAACTTCCTTTTTCTTCAGCTCCCACACCCCATTTTTCTTAGCAGACTGCAGTCAATCCACATTCAATAAAAGTATATAATGCCCATTTTTATATGCACGTTTTTAAACTTCCAAGTTCTGAAAATTGTTTACTGGTTATCTCTATTTAAGGAAAAAAAAAATAAAATAAAACATTTTGGATTTTCATATGTGTCTGATAAGTGGTTGAATAGTCGTTTGGCGCTGTTGTATGGTGTGGTTGTCAGTATATGGTGTCACTTCCTATAGCCAGCCAGCATACTTTGCCTTCCCCTATAGCACTTAGCTGGGCATTACTTTATTATGACATATGTGCACTAAAAAAAAGAAAAAGTAAAAAAAACAAAAACAAAAAAAAACACAAAAAAAATAGCAGCTTTCAGTGCTTCACAGTGAAGGGAAAAAAGCCTAGACAAACATTTTGTCAGAACCTTGCGATAAGCCAAGGTATTACCAGTAAATTGGTTGTATATACAATAAAATTGCACCCTTTTTTTAAAACAAAACAAACTAAGCAATAGTTTGGGCAGTTTTAGTTGTTTTTAGTGAGCATGTTGTAGTCATGACTGCAAAGAGAGAGAATAAACTGCCCACTCAGAAGATATGTAATTTGTATTGTTGTATAGTTTTATTGATTACACTGATTTATTCTACCCTATTTTATAATGCAGGACTTTTGTAATGTTGTTTAAATGAGGAAAAATTTCTGTCAAATTAGCCTAGTGAAATTTCTGATTGTCCATTATAAAGGCAGCGTTCATAGAATTGCTTTTCTTTCTTTCCCGCCCCTCCCCCTTTTGGGAACTGGATTTAAGTTTAAAACTTTCCTGTTTCCTTTTTTTTTTTTTTTTAAGTTTTTAAATACAGTTTTTTTTTTTTTTTCTCTCAATGGTATAGCATATTCCTATGCTTGAGAAGTATAGGTCTACTGAAAAACCATTGTAAATGGACGTTACAGGTATGCTGTATTTTTGAAGGTATTTTGTTGTATTAAGTTTGATGAAGCTAAAATTAGGGAACTCTGAACAGATTTGCAGGAAAAAAAAATGTTTTAAAGGCTTTAAAACATTAAGGAAGCAGTCTAGGGTGATAACGAACAGGGGTCAAGTATTAAATACACTAAGTTACATTTTTGTTCATGTTTCATTGTCCAGAAAGCAGCAGGAAACTGTAGTTCAGTTGTGATCAAGCAGGAAAAAAGAAACACCAACAATCTGAGTGTTTACCTTTTTAGATGAAAGCCAAGCGAAGATGTTTGAGGAAGACTTTGCTACCTGGGGTGTGTAGACTGACAGGCTGAGGGCTGGCCAATTAAAGGCCCTGCCCTTGATTCTGAGACACATTGGAATTTTTTCTCTCCCATCAAATGGCATTAACAATATTGACAAAGAGAAGTCCCTCAACTCACTCTCTGTGGTTTTTCTTTGGGAACTGAAGTCAGAGGCACAAACACTAAATCTGATCATTTTTCTATATGCTTTTTTTTTTTCTGACCCATCCCCCTGCCACTAAAATGCTCCTTTTCTGATCATTCATGGGCAGAGGCCCCTCTCTCTCCATCCCAGAGCCTGTTACTTTCCTCTGAGGTTCGAGCGAACTTTTTCTAGAAGTTTCTTCACACCCTGGCATGGCAGTTATTGGTGTCAGCCCCTCCCCACCCCCACCCCGCAGTCAGGTGTGGGCGCCCCTCCCCCGCAAGCCAACAGGTACACCTCCCCACGCTTGCGGTCTTCATTCTCTGACAGTCGAAGTGTAAGGGAACCCAAATTTTCCAGAGTCACGGTGTTCAGTCAGCCCACAGGAATATGCAAAACCCATCTCAAAGAAGTTTGCCTTTTACTTTTTCAAATCCTTATCCCCGTATATGTTGAATTCTGTCAAAAAGTATTTATGAAATCCGGATTAAGAAAAACATTTTTTTTCCTTGTGATTTTTTTGGGGGGGAGGGGAGGGATTTCTAGGAATGTCATTTAATGTACTTTGCGTCATGTCTCTGGATATATCTTTTTGTCCATAGTGGTGGTTGTCTCTCTCTCTGTCTCTCTCTGTCTCCCCATCTTTCTTTCTTTCTTTCCTTTCTTTCAGTGTTTTTCCCCCGGTAGCAGGCCTCCATAGAACAAATTTCAAACACAACTGGCATGGTAATGTAAGGAGAGCTTCAGTGGCACCTCACCACCCGCCCTCCGAGATCTGTCCCAGGACGGTCTCAGAAAGCTGCACTGCCCACCGGCAGAGCTTTCATTCAAATCGGCTTCCAAGGCCAAGTTCGTCCTGAAGTCAATGCATGTATTTACTGTTTGACAGTAAACCCGCTCTGCCTTCTCCAAGTCCAAGGCTGTGCATTTGCCTAATTAGTGTCGTGTATGTTTTCCTTTTATTTTTTCCAATAAAAAAAGCAGTGGGATGAAAATTGCTTTGATAGATAGCAGGTAACATTGAAGCTATTCCATAGCACTTAACTGTAGTGAATACTGTGTCACCAATTCTGAAATCAATTTAATGTTTAATGCAAATCCATTACATGGTGCTATTACAGGCTGACAAAATGATTTACACCAATGTGACAACTTGGGCTCAATTCACTCTGCTTTCCAACAGTGTAAATGCATAGCAGTGTTTATCTGCATGAGAACTATGCACTAATCTATCTGAAGAAAAAAAAAAAACTATATCAACTTTGGTATCTACTTTCCGTTTACTTCAATCCTTGCCTTTTTGGTCATTGTTATAATGCCAGCTTTAGGACAGAAAGAATTATAAGAAAACCAGCATAATACCTGATATATTAAAATGTAGTGCCTGTGAAATCTGTATTATATTGCTCTTCTGAAGTAAGATTTTTCTACACCGGTAGCCTTCGCTGTCTGTCAGTCAGGACCTTCTGGTATAGGAGATGTAAAATAACCCTACAATATTAATGCATGCTATTCCATAATGCTTAGTGAACTGTATGAATATTACTCAAAGTTATGTTAGTCTTTTTTTCTGACTTGGTTCTTGTCAGCTAGGTTTAAAGGTATTTCACTGAGAACGCAAATTCTGTCTTTTCTTGATTTCGGCTGTTTTCAGTATTTTGGAGGTATACATTTACTTAAATTCAGTATTACTTGTGTTTTTGTTTTCGTTTTGTTTTTTTGTTTTGTTTTGTTTTCTTTCTCCTAGGGGACAAGCATGGGTGGTTGATTTCAGAAATCAGTCCCTGGCAAGACTTTTGTCTCAAAACGACCGTTTGGGTTTCAAGAACTGTGCTACGAGGACACTCTGAGGACATTTCCAAGCGAGGGACATTTTCCTTAACCCTCGACTGAAGCTATGCTGACCCTGAAGCGTTTTCTTAATGGACAATGTTCCGCCAGGTACCCATGCTTGATCCGTCTTCACACCAGACTTCCTCATATTAAAAGAAAAAAATAATGAAAAAAAATCTTTAAGAAATCACATGGCTATTTAGTTTCATGCACAGTTGCAATATTTTCTTCAAAAATAAAACTCTGTACAAACTTTGGGCCCGATTCATAAGAAAAAGGAGTTTGCTATTAACACGGGATTTTTTAAATATACTCTTTTTCGGTCTAAATTTGAAACAACTTGCTTCCCAAATTAAATCAGCTTCATCTCACTTTTTTTTTTCCCCCTAAGCCAGCACCCATCTGCCTTTTATGCCCCCAGAGGGTTACATAACCAGATGAGGGGAACGGGGAGATGGGGAATAGGTATCGGAAATGCTCAGAAAGATAGGGGACCGCCTGCCATTGAGCGCACCAGAGCGGGGAGGCAGCTGTGTGTGGGGGCAGGACCTCGCCTGTGTGCCAGGCATCCCGAGTTTCACATGTGGGCTCCTTATGCAATTTAATTCAAAAATAAAA